CCGCTTGCGCACAATTTGAAGATACACGCAGGTTCGGCTGGCGGGCTGGCTGGCCCTGTTCGCGCTGGCAACACAGAGGGTGCTCATTCTGGGAACCCACCTCGTTCAGCACATGCTTGCTTGGCTGCTGCTGTGTGCTCCACCTTGCCGAAAAGCTTTCCCAGAGAGCCGATCCGGAGCGCAGGAGGTCCAGCCTCCGCTCTCTGGACACCAATTCACAAAAGCGAATCAAGAGCGCAGGGCCGGCTCAAGATCACACTCATAGATCAGAAAGTTCGGCTTAGATCCGGGGGGGTTTAACTCATTGAGGATTTAAATCATGTATGATACGTGGCCAGCCACTTGCTTGTCTGCCAAATCAATGAGCTTTGAGGCCTGGCTGGGTAATCATGCCTTGCAAGGTGTGAAATCTTTTCTGGTTTGCCGGCGCAATGCCACGCAATTGCCAGCGGCTTGCCAGCGGCTCACAGATGCTCACAGCGTCTCTTCTGGCCAAAGGATGGAACAAATTTCGATGCCTTTACCGGCAATGCAAACATGCCCTCGTACGAGGCACGCTCAGGGCAATCCAAACAACCGGTCCTGAGAGCGCCTGGAAAAACCCAACAAGCAAACTGATGTGCGCAGGGCGACACACCGACACACCGACAGGCTGAGACCATTTCCAAGGAATAAATTGAAAAAACAGAAGGTCCATCAAAACCTATACCTACAGAGGTTAAGTGACCTTATAGGACCCTACAGGGTACCTATAGGATAGTTAGGGTTCTTCAACCTCTGCTGGTACAGGGCTTGAAACCCCAGACCCCTCCATGTCTCTTTCATAGGATTCAGGGTCGCGTCTGGGCAGAAGAAATTACGGCTTCCAAGTACGTGTAGCATTCTCGTGGAACACTCGAGTACGCAGTAAGTATTCAGAGTGAACAAGCACGTTTCTTCTTTGTATCTGTTCCAGTTCCAGTCGAAATTTAGGGATCCAAGCAGCTCATTAGAAGGCGTTTGGACACTCCAAGCCTACATAAAAGGTATATCCACTCACCTACTTCTTAGGTCATGTTATGTGTATCATGTGTTTTTCAACCTTAGTTGACAAATGGTTACCTAGAACTTTGTTTTGATGTCACGCCCTTCCACTTAGACACTCTTTCTGGTCCACGCGCTCCCCAAGGTCCGGTCCAATCACCGGCGCCTCCCACGCGCCGCCAGGCATCCGACCAATCAGCGTTGGAACCTCGACGTGACCGACCGGCGGTCCGAGGTGGTTTCCAACTGACCCGTGTCACATGCTTCAAAACGAGACTTGTTGATGTCGCTTGGGACATATATACCCCAAAAAGCCTTCCAAGAGAACTGTAAGAAAAACTGGTCCAAGACAATCTTGGTCCAAAAAAACACCTTCCAAGACAACAACCTTGTCTATGATGGTGTTTAATCCCAAAACACTCCATGCCTCCACGGATGGGGATCCATATTGATCAGTTGAGGGGTCGGGGCATGGAGTGTCCCACTCGGTATGACTCCCAGTCCATATCCAATGATCGGTTGATGTTGAAGAATCCTATAGACTATCCTATAGGTACCCCTGTAGGGTCCTATAAGGTCACTTAACCTCTGTAGCTGAGTCGGGACAGGGACTGAGACAACACTGGACTGGGCGCCTGGCGACTTCCAGAATTCCCGGCGGAGCGATGAACACTGGGACTGGTTGGTGGTGTCAGGAATGGCACAATGTGTTTGAGTCAATGGGTGAGCAAACCAATTCTCCCAACCAAAAGTACGATGGGTTGAACATCAGAATCCGGGGTCCAGCTCCTCGGCACCTTGGGGAACCACCAATCCATACGTTTGAACCAAACCGTTGGGCCAAAGCGGCCAGCCGCGGCCAGCCACATGGAGTCTCAAATGGAGTTGACCCAGTCAGAGTCGTAGCTGTTTTGGGTTCGGGTCACGTGAAAAAACTTGGTCATCTCACGGGGGCATATCGGTCACCTTACGCTATGGTAAATCTCACAGATAAACCCGATCGCAGGTCATTCGCATTCAACCGTGGAGAAACGTCCCCTCACCCAAAACAACGACACAGCGAAACCGCGGCGAAAACGACGACCGCGCGGCGCCTAGCACATCGGCGTCGCCGAGGAAGGCATGGTGCAGCTCCTCAGCACAGAGTCGGCACGGTGGAAGATCCCTCCGAGCGTGGCGCCATCTGAGGATCTTCTCTTTTGAGGGAGAAAATGGTGATGTTCAATATGGTGCATCAAAAAAACATGAAGACTGAACGGTCAATAATTCCACAGCTGGACCTGGACCTCAGTATTCCACAAACCAAACGGCATGCATGACATCAAAACAACTAGTAGTCTGCAAAACTGCCTTTCAATCCAATAGATTTATATGTATATAGTACTTGGGGAGGGGTTGAGATTGCGATTTTGTCGAAAAATTAAAACATACTAAAATTGTTGGCCCTACAAAATGGCAGCTCCAAAAAATTTACAACACGATCCCAAGACACACAATTTTTTTGGTTGAGGTCCGGCGGGGAAGACTGCCATCCAGAGCTGGTGGTTGAGGTACGGTGGGGAACACTGCCCGAGGAGGACGAGGAGGATGACGAGGACGGCAGATGTTATAAAATCAAGCAACCCTCACCTGACAGGTAGCAAATTATACTTTAATTACTGCGAGTAATCCCCACCATGACACTTCAATCTGACAACTTTTCTGGCATGTATTGAGAAACTATATCGGCATTATTTTTGGCATATCTTTCTGAACATCCTTTCATCTGACGAACACTGCCATCCGACGCTTGCGGCTGAGGAGGACGAGGAGAAGAGGAGGAGAGGAGAAGGACGGCAGTTGAGATAATTTAAGCTAACAACCCCCACCTGGCTGACTGGTAGGGAACAAAGAATATGCATCTCTCATCTCCGCCAAGCCCAGACACAAGAGGATACAAAAGCGACAATGAAGAAGGAACTCTACAAAATGATAGATCTTGTTTGCCTCTACAAATTGACCAAACAACAGCTAGAAACAATACAGGAACGTCCACTCTCACAGTATCGTCAGCAACAACAGCTTGGCTGCACATGTTCGCTGAAAGTTTCCAAGGACTGCGCAACACAGCAAAAGAACTTTTCGTTGAAGGCTATGTTTGTGGCTGTGTGTTTGTAATTGTGTTTGTGGTTGTGTCTGTGGTTGTGTGGTGGTTGAGGTCCGGCGGGGAACACTGCCTCGCAACCTTTGCAGTCGAGGTCCGGCCGGGAACACTGCCACAAGATCCTCACAGTTAGAGTCCGGCGGGGAACACCCTCGCATTTCAGGTCCCGCGGGGCACACTGCCACACGACCCTACAGCCTCATTTTGTAGAGTCTAAAGATGGTTACTACAAAATGCTCTTCCAATTGAATCATTTAGCCCACTCCAAGAATCCCTCAAATACATTCTTTACAAGATCCTACTTCCACACTCAACTCATATAGCCCAACAATCTCTACAAAATGCTTCAAGCAACATCTCTACAACATGCCGTGGAAGACCCGACTCTAAATAGCCAAAATTACTTTACTTTGAGTGATCCCCACCATGACATTTCAAAACAGCCACGTTGACATCACCCTCGTTGTGTATTTCAGCTCATTGCACAAGTTCTTCAGCGCCAAGTCTTACTGTTTTGTCCAAAGCGAATGCTTTCATCAGGAGACCTGTGCCCAACTAATAATACAACTCAGAACATTTCAGTAGTAGTCCTACTGGGCGGCCCAAAACTGGGAAACTTCCGGAGCCTGAGCAGTAGAAGTAGTAGTACTACTACTAGTAGGAGTGGTAGTAGCAGTAGTAGTAGTAGTAATAGTAGTAGCAGTAGTAGTAGTAATAGTAGTAGCAGAAGCGGTAGTGGTAGTGGTAGTGGAAGTGGAAGTGGTAGTACTAGTACTAGTACTAGTCTTAGTACTAGTAGTAGTAGTAGTGGTGGTGGTGGTGGTGGTGGTCGTGGTAGTGGAAGTGGTAGTATAGTAGTAGAAGAAGAAGTGGTAGTAGTAGTAGTGGTAGTCGTAGTCGTAGTCAGTCGTCGTCGTCGTCGTCGGCGGCGTCGGCGTCGTCGTCGTCGTCGGCGTCGTCGTCGTCGTAGTCGTGGTGGTAGTAGTAGTAGTGGTGGTGGTGGTGGTAGTGGTAGTGGAAGTGGTAGTAGTAGTATAGTAGTAGAAGAAGAAGTGGTAGTAGTAGTAGTAGTAGTGGTAGTCGTAGTCGTAGTCGTCGTCGTCGTCGTCGGCGTCATCGTCGGCGTCGTCGTCGTCGTCGTCGTAGTCGTGGTGGTAGTAGTAGTAGTGGTGGTAGTAGTAGTACTAGTAGCAGTAGTCGTAGTCGTAGTCGTAGTGGTAGTGGTAGTAGTAGTAGTAGTCGTAGTCGTAGTGGTAGTGTGTCTGTGGTTGTGGTTGTGGTTGTGTGTTTGTGGTTGCCGTTGTGATTGTGTTTGTGGTTGTGCTTGTGGTTGCGTCTTTGTCGTTGTGGCTGTGGTTGTGTTTGTGGTTGTGATTGTGTTTGTGGCCGTGTTTTGTGTTTGCGTTTGTGATTGTGGTTGTGTTTGTGGTTGCGTCTTTGCCGACTTGTTTTTGACTTTTCAATTTGACCTTTTTTTTTTACTTTGACTTTTCCAGTTGACTTTCTTTTGACTTTTGTATTTTTTTTGTTTTTTAATCACGGATTCTGGCCTTACCATATGAAAGTGTTTATAACACTAGGCTTACGCCAGCGACAATCTTGTCGACATTACCACCCTGCACAGTCATGAGCTCTGAGAGAGAAAACTGCTTGAATAGCACGAATTGCACGATGTGGTCCACCGTTGCTTGAACCAAAATTGATCTCCAGCGCGGGTGATTTAGAGGAATCTTGTTGCCTTGATCGTCTAGAACAGCCACACCAGAGGTGTCGCACTCAAAAACTTTTCGCTCAGCATGCCACTCCATTTTAATGGCTGGAAACACGGGTGATCTCAATCCGAGCTTGACGAGTTCGCCGTTTTCACAGGCCGATCTTCGTGCCTACGATCTCTAGCCGCTTGATGCGGCACCACGCTGACTCCGTTGTCATAGTCTTTCGCCAAGAAGTCCCCCATCGAATTGGCTGAGTGCAAAAAACCATCTGACCCAGGCGACTTCCAAAAGTCGAGGTGGGAAACGGCCTCTGCAAACCTGTCGTTGAAGGACTCGCCGGTCAACGGATGCTGCGGATCAATGGGCGTGTTCTCCGTCTCAACGACGGAGAGGTGCCTCCTGTCTGGAACAAACGGATCGTCGCGTTTCTTTGCGAGATTGGCTATGAGTGAGTCTTCCTGTCCCTTTTGGGACCAGTCGGGGGCAACGCGCCGATAGCCTTGAGCTCGTTGAAAGACCTATCTGGGGTGATTTGTGAATCAAGGAGTCTAATTACTATACAACGCCGCTTCTTGTACTTCGACGTCGGAAACGTGGAGGGAAAATGAAGGAAACCCGCCTTCGAACAACCTCCCGCCTTCGAAAACCCTCCTGCCTTCGAAACCAGTCCATCCGGTGTCTCCCCGCTCCCCATCCCCACCCCGCTCCCCTCACTCGCTCGCTCGTCCGTGGAGACTTCTGCGTCCGAGGCCGGGGCGACGAGCTCGGAGAAGCCGTTGGCTTCGATGCTGCGGCGAAAGAGGGCCACCACCTGCCGTGGGGCTCCGTCCGTCGCGACCGCGACGACGAGTCGCCGGGGGTCGCAACGGCGCTCATGGCACCGCCGCGGAAGTAGCAGGACGGGCCGCGCAGCAGGTGATGGAGTGACCGATTGGGAGCAAGTGATTCGGTGCGTTGACCCGATCTTCAAGTACGAGAAAAATGAGGACATGACCGCAAAAAAGAAACAATACGGGTGCTCCTGGGAGATGTTTTTCATGCAAAACATGATAAAACATGACACACTGTCAGACTTGTACCCAATTTGCAAGTACGAACAGGCCGACTCCAGGTCGTTTTCACGGGCGTTTTTGATGGCGAACGACCGATCGTAGGAACATGTTGGACGACCACTAAATCATGGGAGGATGGAGTCAAACACTTTGCCCCCCCGGGACAATAGCAATTGGAATGGAAACTGGGCTGGTCAAAGTGGATTTAGACAGGGTGGATCACTGCTCCAAATCAAGTTCACTTAAAGGTTTCAGTTCGCACGGGTACCATGTAATGTCACCTACGATTCCCAACAAAACCAATCAATCTTGCATACCAATGAAGTACCAGGAGATACCTGGAGTCTCAAAGTACCTCAGAAAATGCGCGCGCAGTACAATTGTTCGTCTACCTATTCTTGTTCGGGTCATGTCCCATCTTCCAACGTACGAACCTTCCTCGGGAATTGCAACTTAAACAGATCCCAATTCAGTTTCCATCCGGGATCCAAGTACCTTCTGAGAAGGTACTTGGATCCCTCAGTTTCGTCAGAAAGCTCACACCTCCGCCGACCCTCTAGCTTCTTCTGTGGATCCACTCGTCAAAGCTAACCAATATTTACCATTTGCATCTATACCTGGAACCCTGTTTGGACCCCCTGTTTTGATAGGAAAAGGCCATATGTTGGGTAGTTGGTGGTCCAAAATATAGGTCATTCAGTTTCTATAGGTATATATAATATATGCATTTGCCAAGCCACACCCTGAACATCTGCCTCGCCTGCGCCACCGGCTCCACACACGTGGCACGTAGGCGGCTCTTCAACTCTGCAGCGGCCCACAACATGCAGTCGCCTCTGGTGCACCCCAAGTCCAAACGGGAAGAAAGTGGACCATGGTGGCACCCCAACCGAGCCGTTTTTGTGGAAAAAACAAGGTATATCAAGGTTAACCATGGACAACCTCGGTCCTTCTGAAGCCAATCCCCCAAGAAAAGGTCCATGCAGGTTGTCTAGTACTTCCTGGGTAGGAAAGAAGGAGGGGTCGGTGCCAAATTCAGTCTTTTGACCATGCCAAATATCCAAACGAATGGGACTGGAATAGTTACAGAACATGACAACTCTATCCAAATGGCCCATCCATGTATATACAACTATTCCAGTTGCATGGATAGTCTGGTATGTACCACCCAGTTTCACAGGGTGCTTCAAAAAGAATTACGAATCAATGAATGTTCAACTGAAAAAGATCTACCAGCCGAACTGAAAAAGGTGAACAGGTACCTGGACCCTCCTGTCGGGGTGTCCTGGCTGGACTACCCAACACGACCTATGGAGGCTTCCAGACAGGGCACCTCGATGGTCGGAGGGTCCTGCAGGGTAGATCTTGAAAAGTCTCCTCTATTCTGTACCCTCCGGTTCCGTGGATCGACCGGTTTACCGATGGAAAACCCCCCACCCCCACTGAAGCGTTTGGAGGGCCGCACAGGTGACCCGTGACCTGAAGGGTCCGGACCCGTCACCTGGGAGACCCATGGGATAGTCGGACCTGGGCTCTTTAACCTCTGTTGGGAGCTGTAGGGATTCATCCACCCACTGCTTCGGCGGAAGTCGATCCGAACCGAGGTGCAGTCGACGCGTGCAGTCAACGCGTGGTTCGAAGCAACGCGACTCACCCCGAGGTGGATCCGGGGATAGTCCTCTCCGGCCAGGAGGAAGTCATATCGTTTTGGGGGATCCGGGTAGCCAGAGGTTGAATGACCCGAACTAAGGCTATGTCACTTAACCTCTCTTGGAGGGAAAGATGGTAGAATTTTTTGCGCCAGGTGGGGCGAAGAGTGCTTGCCAAGCCGCGGGATGAGGGCGTTAAGCCAACGAGTCGTACTGTAGACTCTATAGAGTTCATGGGATATGACCTGAACCAAAAAACAGGTACTAGTTGGGCGCCTTGGGGGCGAGTGGGGAGGTGCGGTCGACTGAGAGTATGTCCACAAGTCGTCCTGCTCTTCGTCTGCTCCACTGTTGGGTGACGGAGTAGACTGGTGATGTCCCGGCCTGGCGGGTCCCAGCAAAAGGTGGGTTGTAGGATGGAAGTGACCAGGGCCTTCGCATCCTCACGAGCGTTTGGGCGCCCGGACCAATGTGAGGCCCAGCCTCACCGGTGGCTGCAGTGAAGCACCGGAAGTGCTGGGAGGGTGGTGTTTCACCACTGCAAAAAGAGCATGTTCAGCCAGAGTTGAGCTCAGGCAATGACCTCATTTTAGACTGGATCCATCATATACCCTACACCTCCAAGTACCTCCTCAGAACGTATTTGGACCCTCCTGGCACCCACCCCAAACATCCCCAAACACCTTCTCAGAAGGCACTTGGAGGCCTAGGGATAAGTCATACAAAGAACAGGACTCGAGGTTTGAGGTTTTCAAGAATCAAGTTGTAGGAAGCCCGCAGCCAGTGGTTTCAGAGGTTCGTTGACACAATCTCCAATGTCGGTGGTTTGGCTCAATGTAGGCATATATTCCTTGGGTCTATCGATCCTAATAACAGTGGATGATGATAGTTAGGTACCAGGCCTGGTTCAAAAAATAGTGATCATGCGCGAGATGGCGCGAGATCTGAAGATGGGTTTTCCACCCACCAGAGGTGAACGTGAACGTGACCTGACCCGGTTTCAACCAGAGGGTATACCCCAACGTTCGGACAGTCGAACAGCCGGGTGACCTGGCCCACCCCGACGGTCACCACCGACGGTGGTACGACTGGAGCCCTATTCCGCCTGAGATACAGCTGTTCATGCGACTTTGAAGTACGGACCTTTCTGAAACTGGGCCAAATCCGAGTGTCCAGTGTGTGGCCTATTTGCCAACAAAAGAAGCAAACAAAACAAAAGACACATCAAAGGTCTGAAGGTCGACTGAAAAAACAAAAAACAAATACACACAAAACAAGTGGCCATTTGATGACATGTGTCTAAAAACACCACATGTGTTAAAAATCCTCGGCCCCACCATTGATTTCGTAGCAAAATCATCCAGCACAACCATTGTTAAACCTTTTTGACATTTCAAATTCAGGTCTGAACCGTTCTTTTCATGGTCGAACCGAAGGCGACCGGGAGAGGTCCGTCGATGGCGGAGTACTTCAAGGCTGGATGCCCTCCGGCTTCGAGGCGAAGCAGTGCTACCAAACGCTCAATAAACATACCAGAACCCGTTATAAGGGGCTTCTATTGATAGACCCTTAAGATGTTAAGGGGTGTCCATGCGCCACCCCTTTCTGCTTTTTCTCGCAGAACGATCTGCTACTTTGGCGATAGTATTTTCTGGATGGGCGGTCATCTGACAGTTTCTATGTTAAATTTATAGTCAATCTCTATGGCTTGCTCTTGGGAGAAACAGCCACAAGCTCCAAACAAGTAGCTGATACTCTGAAGTGCCACGATTCCCCCTATAGCTGTAGGTGCCTGTGAGTCTCCTCCACTGTATTCCCAGATGCGGGCCTCCACAATGCGCAGTCGCCTGCGTGGGTTGCCGAACTCGGCTGCACATCAAACATAGATTGCGATGAGCCGAACGATTCCGACTGCCGATTTATAAGTACGTGTTTTTTTTTCACCAAGCAAGCATATGGTGGGAATCAGCTTCGTGCTTGTTTGAGGTCTTTAGGTAAGCGAAATGCCTTGTAACTGTAGGCGGTAGCTGTGGCGGAATGGCGGAATGACCTTGAAAGGCGCCCAGACCTTGCTTGGAATCTCCATTTAGGCACCATCTGTGAAAGACTGAAAGGATTGGGATGCTCAAAGAAAGCTCTTCCGGCTCTGCAATCACGGTGGACACATGCTCTTCAGTACACCTGCACTTCTTCTTTTTCTTCTACTTTGTGTTCTTCTGTCTCAGACTCAGACTCCAACTGACTCCATCTTGTATGACCAGCATCAAACTCACTCATGATGTCTTTCTCTTCGGAAAATGCCAGCCCATCCCATCGCTCCATCCAGTTGATCCCATCGCGTCCCGGCGCGGTCTCACCCCACCTCTGGCCGGGCTCTTGTGCCAATCGCACCACCTGCGCACCGCGCTCGGGGCGCACGGCCCAGACGTGTCCCGTGTCCCAGCTCCGGAGATCTGGTTCGTTCTCAGGTAGAGAAGAGCTAATGATCAGCTAAAGGCTCTTCCGAAGGTTTCAATCAAAGCAAAACGGTGAAGAGAAATCTCAATTGATGGTGGGCCAGGATTTTGACGGCTCACCTCTCGGCGCAGGAGAAGAACCCATCACACCTCGGGGGGGCGGCTGGTTACTTGACTCAGTCCCGGGTAGGATACGTCAACAAGGACACATTGGGTGTGTATGGATTAAAAGAGAGGGACCTTCCAAGTTCGACCCGAGATGGAAGAAGGAACACGGATCCAACATGCACTGATGGTGGATTCCTGCTGGTGGAAGAAGTGCAGGATTCATCCAGGAATGAGAGTTCGTGTTTGGAAAAAACTCGCCCCTCCATCCGGCTTGCACCTCGTCTTGAAAGAGCTGAAGACAGTAGGCCTGGTGTGCGTGATGTCAGCTTCAGAACCACCAAAGAAAAAAAACAGAAAGTGTGGATGTCCGAACTCAAACTCGAGCTCCCGTGGGGTCAAAGTATACTCCTGCCAAAAGTCTTACTTCAAACACCAAATCATGGACTTTGAGCCACTTCCAAGCTGGTGTGTCCTGTGATGACATCCTCAAAGCGGTTGGGAGGGGCATGCATATTCTTTTGCCAAAAGCACGCCCTACAACAAGTTGGTGTAAATACGTTCATGCTGATTCATTATGCCTATGTTTATCCTGCCCAGAAGGGTACTGGTGTCTGGAAGACTGCTTCTTCTGCCAAGTCCTACCACCCGGAAACCGCATGGTGCTAGAGAAGCGCCAGAAGTTCGATCGAAGCGCACTGCGCACTACACAAACACCATGGTTAATCACACTTAGATGATCCTGCCAGTACCTGGACCCTCCAAAGTACCAATACCTTGGAACATGTACCTGGTGTTTTGGAGTCCAAATCCTGACTCCTCTCGCAGTCCAGTCCTCTTCTTGTCGAACCCTGTAGACCTGTCCAGACCCTGTAGGTGCTTTCCGGAGCTTTCGCTCTGCGTCGACGCGGCGTCGTTCGTTTTTCAGGCGTCGGTGATGAAACGCGCTTTCGCGCCGCGCCACTGAAAGGGTGGAACACATCCACCTTTTCGCGCGACAGAGCGAACTCTGCATGTCAGGCTGCAGGTCACAAACTGGGCCACGCATGGCCACGATGACACCAGAAAGATATACAAACACTTCCCTAGGGATCCAAGTACCTTCTCAGAAAGTACTTGGACCCTCCTGGCACCTACATGGCAGTACCGAGGAACCCTCCAAACCCTCCAGCAGAACTTCAGGATGCACTGAGGATCGCACCCATTGTCATTTGTGTGAGAACATTCAATTCTGCACCCATCGCTATAGGAAAATCTGCCCCCCAAAACATTTAACCCCTGCAAACAAATCGCTGATTTTCCCACGGTGAAAGGATTTCTTCTCTCCATCGTGTGAACGCCATGGTTTTGATCGGCAATATCCTTGGTCAGAGGTGGCAGGTGATGGCCGGGATGGGGTAGAGTGTGGAGCCTTTATTGCACCAAGAAAAGTAATCAATCATAATCAATCCTTCCAGGTCAGGAATTGACCTCATTTTGCTGGAGCTGATCATGCAACTGTCTCGGACCTGGACCTGCATGGAATCAGATTACTTGGAATTCAGCCAAAGAACCTGCCAAACAGCTCGAAGTGAGTCGCAATGATTCAGCTTCAATATACAGCCCATGACATGGCC